TGAATTCTTCCATCTTTTCTGCAGAGTTGCATGCTATTTATTTAGCCTTAAAGCATGTAAATAGGAAAGGTCATCGTTGCTGTGTGATCTACACCGACTCTGTTAGTGCACTTCAGGCTTTGATCTCGTGCGAACCTAGTTCTCACTCTATAGTGATTAAAATTCATAATCTTATTTGCCATCTTTTTACGAGGAATCTCTCTATAAAATTTTGTTGGGTACCTGGGCATGTTGGCATAAGAGGGAACGAAGAAGCTGATGCAGCTGCAAAGGCAGCTAGTCCTTCACAGCATGAAATGTGTCTCGAAGGAAGTGACTTGAAGCTAGTAGTTAAAAAACGACTAGCGGAGAGATGGCAAAACATGTGGAATGCACAAATCCACAATAAACTACACGAGATCAAGCCAAATATAGAAAATTGGACACGTAACAAACATTATGACAGGAGATTTGAAGTAATTCTTACTCGTTTGAGAATTGGGCATACTCGGTTGACTCATTTATACCTTTTGAAGGGTGAAGCCCAGCCAGTATGTGAGTATTGCAACTGCACCCTAAGTGTAAAACACATGCTGTGCAATTGCTCTGCTTTCAAGACAAGGCATAGACAATATTTCGGAAATGCTTGTCTGACAGAAATCCTTGGCCAAAGGCCAAATGTCAATAATTTACTAGACTTTCTGAAAGTCACTAATATTTATAAACAAATTTGAATATTTATTTATTTACCTATTCATTTATCTATACTTTTATATACCTTGTTTTTATTTATTGTTACTGTTGTATATGTTTGTTATTGTTATTTGTTATTAATTTTTAATATATGTATATATGACCTTTTTAATTTTACCATTTGGCATGGCGCATCATAGCTTATATGGCTTTTGTGCCAAAAAACCTTAACAAACAACAACAACAAATAAAGTGACAACAAATCCTTAATGCAATCAAGTCTTCCAATGTATAATAGCTGGAATTCCAGTGTGTCAGCGAGTCTTGCAAAACTTTTAAAACTCTTTGAGTCAAATTTGTATTTTTTCTAATTCTTGCTTTGCCATTGTAGAATGGTTGAAACTTCCTGCAATTTTTCTGCATTTTGTAAGTAACATGGATATTGCATCAACATTTTTAATAGCTTCTTTGACCACCAGATGCAGCTGATGTACTGTACAGTTGCTATTATTTATGTCAGATAAAGTGCAGGCACTATTCATGTTGGATCCCCATCTTTTACCATGCAGTGCACATTCTGTTTTGGGATTTGCCACTCTTCAAGCATAAATTAAAATATTGCCAAAATGTAATCCCCCATGTGGTGTTCGTCAAGAATCTCCACTTTCAAAATATATTTTCTTATAAAATTTTTTGTAATGCCATGACATGTTAAGGATAATAATGAAACTCCTGACAAAGAATTTGACCAGATATCTGATGTAAAGGAAACTTTCTCAAAATCCTTCAACATGTTCTTTATATTCGATAACACTTTATCGTAAAGTTTGCTGCAAACAGGTTCCATAAAATATTTCCTGCCTTTTAGAACAACATGATCCATCAATTGTTGGAACTTCCAATCCTTCTATGTGTTGAAAAGGTAAATCAGATAAAGCTATCATTTCTGCAACTAAATAGTCAATTTTTATTGATTTGGGGTTTGTATTATCCCACATTTTGATTTTTTTATGAGGGCTGTTCGGAAAGTTCGCGGCCTCAAATAGAACAACAAACAAAATAATGTTAAAACTTTTTTATTTTTCAATGTAGTCTCCTTTGTTAGCAATGCACTTATTCCAGCGATGTTCTAGCTTTTTTATGCCATCACACTAGGTCAATTTGTCAAGGTATGCAAAATACTCATTCGCTTCAGAGATGATTTCGTCATTTGAGTGGAATCTCTTTCCAGCCAAGAATTTCTTTTGGAAAAAGGTGGAAGTCACTGGGGGACATCCTGGAGTTTAGTGGGCCTCACTCTTTGGTATAGCCCAGAAGTAGGAAGTGGAAAGAAGGTGTAAAGTTTGTGAAGGGTTTAGGTGAAGGTGAAGTGAAAAGAGGGATAGGAAAGGTAAAAGGAAAGTTGTGTTCCATGGGCTCCCATGGCGTCCACATTGCATTTATTAAAAATAAATTGACAATGTACAAAATAGCAAATATATACAATGATAACAACAACGTTAGTTACAAATAAATGTATAAACAATGAAGACAATGATGCCGTGCACAAAGAAGCACACCCACAACTTGTGGGTTGTATGTTACCTGTACAAATGAAAAACCCGTACATAGTCCACAAAACAAATGTCCTGTTTGGCAGCTTGTGGATCGGAAAGTCCTATATTAACATAGAAACCGTTGGCACCTTTGTGAGTATGATGTGATACTTCTGTCCATGCACTTAGTGTCCTAGAAGGAGAAGATCAGTTAAGTATGTTGATGCTTTTAGCAAAGTCATTGAATGCTTTATATAATTTCTTATTATTAATAAAGCTTTTAAGTTGGCATGGCCAAAGTTCGTTTTCTTCGTTAACCCTGTCTATTAATGTTTTCCTTTGATTCCTGAAGTTTGGACAAAGATAAATGATGTGTTCTGGTGTGTCTGCTTCCTGTAAGAGACATTGACATATACCGTCTGTCTTCTTCAGAAACCTTTTTAGGTAATTTCTGAAGTTGCCATGTCCTGTCAACAGTTGTGTAGTGTTGAAGTTAGGCAAGAAAAATCTGTTTTTATTTCGGTGTTGTACATCTGGAATGTAGTCATGTGTTATTCTTCCTGTGGTACCCTCATCCCACCTTTTCTGCCATCTATACCAGATGTGTTCCCTAATTTTCTTTTTTAACCAGGTGACAGGAGTGTAGTTATAATAGCAGATGTTTGTTCCTTTGGTGGCAGTGCGGGCCAGAAGGTCCGCCCTTTCGTTTCCTTGTATGTTTGCATGTCCTTTTATCCAATTTAGATTAATAGTTATTTTCCGTTTAAGTTGTTTAAGAATGTTGATGCTTTCCCTTACCACAACCAGTTTGATGTTCAACTTTTTAATCTGAAGTAGTGCCACTCTGCTGTCACTGAGAATCGTGACCCTGGTGATGTTATATTTCTGTCTGTTTTCATTAATCCATTTAAGAGCCCTAAATATTGCAAATGATTCCGCTTGATTTGCTGTGCAATGGTTCTCTAGTTTGAATCTGGCTTGATAGATGTTTTTGTCGTTATTTTTCACTACAATTGAACTGCCCACTCCTGTTTCTGACTTTGACCCGTCCGTAAAAATGCAATACCCGTTTGGTATTGTGCTGTCATTCATATTGAAGAGTTCATCTATCGAAAAACTTGGGTGAAATGCATGTTCCTGTGGTTCATTATCCAGTTTAAAATTGTGAATGTAATCAGCTATGGTCTTTGCTTCTTTTCTGACTCCTATTTTCTCCGTATCTCTATAAAATGTTTCACTGTTGATGTTACCCGATGATAGTTTTAATCGTAGAAAATGTCATACCCAAACAGTAGACAACTTACCTTACCCAGAGGCCCGTCATATGGTCACTTCAAGTGCACCACTAAAACAAAAGACATTTGCTGCTGCTTTGAAATCCACAAAAACATGTGGAGTTCAAACCGACATTTCCGTTTCCCCAAAGGAATCCCTCATTCGGCATGAAAAATGTTTACTGATTCCATCAACAGAAACACCAGAAAAGGAGAGTATGAAACCAAAAACACCCCTACCTAAAACAGGGGTTATAACAAGAAACCTGGGTTTAAAAAAGGCTAGTAAGAACCCAATAAACAAGCAGAGAGTGAAAGTGGCTCTCTCTAAATGTAAAAAATCAGAAGCCCACTCTATGAGTGAGTTTTCTGATATCTCTGATGAAGAGACTAACCAGGAGGTGACAAAACCCACATCACCTCCAAAAGAAAAAAACCCCTGTTAGATTAAAGAGAGATACTCTCACTAAGAATGTTGCCTCAAACACAAAATGTGTTAAAAAATAACCCAATGGAACTGTCGTGGTTTTCGCAACAACTTCTCTGACATTAAACACTTGACATCATCTACCCAATCTCTCTGCGTGGCACTCCAGGAAACCCATCTAAAACCTGGAGAAAATATTTCTTTAAAAAGATTCGCTCTCTACCGCAAGGATGATCATAGCCACAACCGTGCCAGTGGAGGTGTGGCTATTTTGGTTTCCAATCACATCCCATTGTTGCTGGTACAAATAACCACTGATTTGCAAGCTGTGGCAGCCAGAATATCAATTGCAGTAACTGTCACAGTTTGCTCTATATACTTGCCACCAGATGTCAGAGTCAATGAGAATGAATTGGATTCATTAGTTGAACAGCTGCCAACTCCATTCCTTTTACTGTGTGATTTCAATGGCCACAATCTTATGTGGGGCAGTTTCGACATCAATCGTCGAGGCAGAGTCATTGAGAGATTTATCGGCAATCAGGAAATATATTTATTTAATACTGGAGAAGTGACATACTTCCATGCCCCAACAAGGACATTCACTGCAATTGATCTTTCATTAGCAAGTCCAAACCTGTTTTCAGCATTTTCATGGGAAGTTGGATGTAATCGACTCTCTAGTGACCACTTCCCAATATTTCTAAAATACCAAGGCAGAGAGAGCTGTGAAACAGCCCGTCCACCACGCTGGAAACTTGAAACAGCAGATTCGTCCACATTCTCCTCTTTGCCTAACATCACTGAGGAAATGGTCAATACTGCAGACATCAATGATGCAGTTGAGGTTGTCACTTCTAGTATCATTCAGGCAGCGGAAAAAACAATGGGGAAAACATCAACTAGATATCCAAAACATCCTAAACCATGGTGGAATCAGAATTGCGAGGCAGCATTTAAAGCACAAAAGAAAGCATGGGGGATTTTTAGAAGATACCCCAGTGCTGAAAATTTGATAACTTTTAAAAAAGCAAAGGCAAATGCCAGAAAAATCAGAAGGCAAAGCCAAAGGGATTCTTGGAGGAAGTATGTCTCTAACATAACTTCCTCCACTAGGTCAAAAGCAGTCTGGGATAAAATCCATAAAATTAATGGAAAATATGCTTCCTACTCTCTGTTTATGCTAGAAAATAATGGCACAATAATCAGCGACATATCGGATATTGCTGATACGTTGGGTGAAACATTTTCTGCTTTATCCAGCAGTATTACGTATTCAAGGAATTTTCAGGTTTATAAAGCCCAAAGAGAAAAAACAGTGTTTAAACTTTCATTCCTCATGTAATGAGGATTATGATGTGCCATTTACTAGAATTGAATTACATACAGCGATCTTTCGCTCAGGGAATAGTGTTGTAGGCCCGGATAAAATCCACTATAGTATGATTAATAATCTTTCAAACAATTCCCTTTCTAATCTCCTGCATCTGTTTAACAGAATATGGACATAACATACTTTTCCTGACTCTTGGAGACTATCTATCATTATTCCCATTCCCAAACCAGGTAAAGACCACAAGAATCCCTCTAATTACAGACCAATCTCTCTGACAAGTTGCCTGTGTAAACTGTTCGAGAGAATGGTAAACAGACGCCTGATTTTTCTCCTAGAGGAAAAGAACTACTTTTTACCACACCAGAGTGGATTTCATAGGAACAGAAGTACCACAGACAATTTAGAAACCTTGAAACAGCTATATGAGAAGCGTTTGTTCGACGACAGCAATTAATGTCTGTATTTTTTGATATAGAGAAGGCCTACGATTGCTGCTGGCGATACGGAATACTTCGTAATCTGTATCAATTCGGATTACGACGTAACTTGCCAATTTTTATAAAAAACTTCCTGCAGAATCGAAGATTCCATGTCAGGATGGGCAACACTTTATCTAGGGCTTTCACACAAGAAGGTGTTCTTCAAGGTTGTATTTTGAGTGTGACTCTGTTCCTAATCAAAATCAACAGCATAGTTAACTGTCTTCCTTCCAGTGTGAAACACACTCTGTATGTGGATGACTTTCAGATCTCCTGTCAGTCTAGTAATATGAGTTTCATTGAGAGACAACTGCAAACCTCCCTAAATCGCATATACGATTGGTCCAAGACCAATGGCTTTACATTTAATGCAACAAAGACCTCGTGCATCCACTTTCGGTGAAGGCGTGGCCTTTACGTGGATCCTGAAATGTATTTAAATGGGGATAGAATTCCAATGGTGAATGTGGCTAAGTTTTTGGATGTTTGTTTTGACCAAAAACTGACATTTTTGCCACACTTGTGCAACCTGAAGAGTAGATGCTTAAAATCTTTGAACCTTCTAAAGGTATTATGCTGCTCATCCTGGGGAGCAGACAAATGTTCCATGCTCAGGATTTATAGGGCCCTTGTCCTTTCGATGTTGGACTATGGTTGCATTGTTTATGGCTCTGCACAAGAATCTACTTTTCGGATGCTGGATCCAATCCATCATCAAGCTCTACGTTTATGCACTGGTGCCTTTTGCACCTCCCCTGTACAAATCTGTATGTGGATGCTTATGAGCCTTCACTGTCTCTTAGGAGAGAACAGTTGTCTCTTTTTTATTATATAAAAGAGAAATCTCATACTAAACATTCCATTGATTGTACAGTATCAGATACTCAGCTGACAAGGCTATTTGAAGCTCGTCCAAGTAGTGTCCCTACATTCAACATAAGAATGGAAAATGTAAGAAGCACCATTGACCTGAACACAAGCAACAATTTACAGGCCGAGGTGTATAGTATACCACCTTGGTCAACTACTGTGATAAATGTTGACTTTTGCTTAAAGCAGTTTTCCAAGGAATCCACTCTAGACTACATTTACAGACAGCACTTTGCAGAAATCCAACACAATGACAGGAATTTGATTCCTATTTACACTGACGGTTCTAAGTCGGATGATTACGTTGGTTCAGCGTTTGTCTGGCAGGATGAAATTGTGGCAGAGCAAATCACATCAAATTCATCTATTTTTACTGCAGAGCTGTACGCTATTCACTTAGCATTAAAGTATGTAATTAGAAAAGGTTATCGTCGCTGCGTTAATTACAGTGATTCACTTAGTGCACTTCAGGCTTTGATCTCATGTGAACCTAGTTATCACTCTATAGTGATTAAAATTCGTAAATTGTTTTGCCATTTTACTGCGAATGATTTATTTGTAAAATTTTGTTGGGTCCGAGGCCATGTAGGTATAAAAGGAAATGAAGATGCTGATGCAGCCGCAAAGTCAGCTAGTCCTCCACAGCATACAATGCATACTGAAGGAGGGGATTTGAAACTAGTCATTAAAAAACGACTAGCAGAGAGATGGCAAGTTATGTGGAATGCACAAATCTACAATAAACTACATGAGATCGAACCGATGATAGTAAATTGGACACATAATAGGCAGTATGATAGGAGATCTGAGGTAGTCCTTACTCGTTTGAGAATTGGACACACTTGAATGACTCATTAATACCTCATGATGGGTGATGATCAACTGGTATGTCTGTATTGCAATTGTACTGTGTTAAACACATACTTTGCAATTGATCTTGATCTTGCAGACAGCATTTTGGAAATGCAAGTTTGAGTGAGATTTTGGGGCAGAGGCCAAATCTTGATAAGATACTGAACTTTTTGAAAGTTGTAAATATTTATAATCAATTATTCATATACATATACTTATTTATTTATTATATATTTATACTTGTTTTGTTGTTTTGTTTATTTGTACTTATTCATGTTTCTGTGTTGTATCTATATTTTGTTACATATTTTGTTTATTTATTTATTTATTTTTTACCTTTTGCCATGGCACAGCATGGCCTGAATGGCCCTTGTGCCAGAAAACTCGTACCAACCAACCAACCGTCATGGCGCAGTATAGCCTGTATGGCTCGTGCCAATAAAAACCAACCAACCAACCTTGACAATTCCCAGGATGACTAAGATTTTTAGTAGATAAGGAAAAACAAAAGGATGTTTCAACTTTTGTTGAAGGAAGTGACTTTTTTCAGTTTCCTTTGTTTTAGAAAATATAATTTTCCCACCAAAATTAGAGAATATTTTTTTAAAAAATTTAACTTTTTAATTANGAGGACAGTTTTTCCAACCAACCAGCCTATCTCATCGTGCATGCTATGGGAGAAACAACTCTTTCTAAATGTTCCCCCTTTTTGATTCAGAAACTTTTTGAATCTACCATTGGGCATCTTAAAAAAATCTAAAAGTTGAGATCAGGAGACCTGCTCGTTGAGGCAGCCTCCCCTCAACAGTCTGAAAATCTTATGAAGACAAAATCTCTAGGAGACATACAAGTCACCATCACACCACACACAAGTTTGAACTCATCACGTTGTGTGATATCTGAAATCGATTTGCTGTCTGAGGACGAATCCGATATTCAGATTGGCCTCTGAGACCAAGGTGTCACTGCTGTCCGACGAATTTCAATAAGTCGAGATGGCAAGTTCATACCAACTAAACACCTTATCCTCATTTTTGGAAAACCATCATTGCCATATTTTGTTACAGCAGGCTATTTGCGCTGTTCAGTTCGCCCATATATTCCAAACCCGCTGCGTTGCTTTAAATGCCAGCGGTTTGGACACTCACAACATCCTGCCGAGNTTTTTTCAGTTTCCTTTGTTTTAGAAAATATAATTTTCCCACCAAAATTAGAGAATATTTTTTTAAAAAATTTAACTTTTTAATTAAATTGTTAATTAATCACAGGGGCAATTCGCATCTCACATAAACATTCACCAGGAGAAATAGACTCATTATTACTGTATTTTTGTACTCAATCAGCTGTTAGCATTAATAACTTATCAAACTGTGACAGAGCCATTCTTCAATAATTTGTAAAAAAGTGAGGAATGGTTATTCCTCATGTCTTTAATCTATATATAAGAAGATTTTTGTTTTTGTTTCTTAAACTATAGACACACATGAAGTTATACAAATTCTTAATTAATCTGCATCAATGTCCTAATTTAATCAAATTGTTATTTCAAACACCATAACCGTGTATTTCTATTAATAGGACTTATTATACTGGTGTATAGAATTATACCAACACAGTCACACAGATTAAAATTGGTTTATTTATGATTACCTGATTACTCTTTATACAAATTCTGTTTTTTTTTTTACCAAATTATGATAATGTCCTTTAGCCTTTTGCTGTTTCCAGAAGGGATGGACACCGTATCTTTGTTTTCTTTTTATTACTTTATGAAGTAATCCTAATAGTAACAGCTTTTTTTTTTGCAAGTAATAAGCATCAATGTTGAACCATTTTGTTTTATTTGTCAGGTTTCTATTTGACAAGTTCGACAGGAACACATGACTCCTCAACTCCATGCCACTTTCTCTCGTTTGCTCACATCTGTGTGGTTGTATAAACAAGCGAGAAACGTCATTACCTCTTCTCGCCACATATTCTCGCTCTCTTGCATCTGCATAGTTGCACCTTAACAGTAGCAACAGCAATGGCAAACACGTTTGTATGAGCTTGATAATTTAATAAAGCACTTACAGTAGTTAATAATACAAAGGAATGCATCTACTTGTGGCATAGAAGATTAGGACATTGTGACATGAACTCCATAATTTGAATACAGAATAAGCAATTGGCTACAGCAATAAGTATTGAGAAATGTCACATATTTAAAATATTGTGAATATTGCATCAAGGCCAAAATGACTAAAGAGCTTTGCAAAAAAATTGGAAACTGAAACTATTAATGTTTTGCTGTGTTTCTTATAAATAAAGACAATTTCAGTTTCAATCTAACAACATTTGTTTTAATAAATTACAAGTAAAAGAATACACGGAGACTTGGCTCTTCTTAACGTACACTTCTAGTCTTTTAACTCTGGCACCAACTGAACACATCGCTCCCTCACGTTCTCTCTGGTTTTTACTTACTAAATTAAATACTCCCAACATTCTCCCTTAAGCTAAAAACCAAAGAAAATGTGAATCTCTGAGCAACAATCCTTTCTAACCCACTCCCAACCTGCTTTTGATCTGCTCAAAGCTTTTTCTAGGCAGAGCTTTGGTTAGGATATCTGCCAGCTGAATATTGCTTTGACAATATCTGATCTCAAATTCTCCTTCATGGAATGTTTACCAAACAAAGTAGTATCTAGTGTCCAAATGCTTTGTCCTTCTTGAGAATTCTGGATTTTTATCTAGACATATGGCACATATATAATATATAGTGATGTGCCAGATATCTGAGGGCAAAAAAGATCTATATCCTTATCCGTTACTTTTTAGCAGATCTTTAATGGATCTTTTATCTTAATGAATTTCATTACTTATATGAAATTTTAAATATAGGTAGCAATAAAATACTAACAACTTCAATTTAAATCACTTTTTATTTTTTAAAATCACATATTTGGCACATTCATTTTGTAAAAATATTTAAACATTAATTATAGCAAGTTACCAGTATAAGGTATTAATTTAACTATCTTTATAGTGAGATCAAACCTCTAATGCTAATTGAAATAATCATCACGGTTATATTATAATAATTATGAAATAATTTTAATTATCACATTTTTAGAAACTTCAAAAAATTAAATGTCATAATCAAAATTAATTAATTGTAAATTGTACTTCAAAAAGAGTAACTTGGCAGCTTTATCCCCCAAAAGTCTATTACGATGAGGATCGTAAATAATTCCTGCTGCACTGAAAAACTGCTCACTTGGAACGCTTGTTGCAGGTGATGATAAATATGTGCGAGCCATGTGACTAAGACCTCCAAATTTTTTACTATTAATCTCCCAATACTTTAATGGATCTTGGTCTCTTGATAATCTTTTTTCTTTGGCATATTCTGTGAGCAAATTAGCATTAGTGTATGATATTTGGTTTTCAGATTCCTCATCTTCATCGTCACTATCTAACATATTAGCCATAGAGTCTTCTAAATTGTTGCAATATTCTTTTCTTACAGCATTTGATTTTTCTGTGCTAGTTGTAGTTGTTGTGATATTTACTTCTGTTTCTAAAGCTGTAAGTAGTTTCTGTTTTATATCTTTGATAAGAAAATCACTGAAAAATTTACCTTTGTAACGTGGATCTAAAAATGTTGCTATTTGGAACAATATATTTTTGTCGATTTCAGAAAAACGATAATCTAATTCATTCTTCAAAGAAGACAAAAAATCAAGAACGGCAGGTGTGCTGATGTTGAGAGTTTCCCCACTATTAGCAGAAATTTGAATCTCGTCATACAATTTATTTAATGCTCGTACTAGAGGAATAACGTCGGATATACATATGTTTTGTGCGCTCAATTTTTTTGTGGTATCCTCCAGAGGCTTCAGTACTCTCACTAATTCTTGAATTAAAATCCACTCTTCGGCATCAAACTGTTCTATTTTATTATTAGTAGAATAAAGCGACAACGAATCCTTAATGCAATCAAGTCTTTCCAACATATAATAGCTGGAATTCCAGCGTGTCGGCGAGTCTTGCAAAACTTTTAAAACTCTTTGATTGAGTCGAACTTGTATTTTTTCTAATTCTTGCTTTGCCATTGTAGAATGGTTGAAATGTCCTGCAATTTTTCTGCATTTTGTAAGTAACATGGATATTGCATCAACATTTTTAATAGCTTCTTTGACCACCAGATGCAGCTGATGTGCTGTACAGTCAATATTATTTATGTCAGATAAAGTGCAGGCACGCTTCATGTTGGATCCCCCATCTCTTACTATGCAGTGCACATTCTGTTTTGGGATTCCCCACTCTTCGAGCATACATTGAAATATTGCCGAAATGTAATCTCCCGTGTGGCGTTCGTCAAGAATCTCCGCTTTCAAAACGATATTTTTTCTTATAAAATCTTTTGTAATACCATGACATGTTAAGGATAATAATGAAACTCCTGACGAAGAATCTGACCAGATATCTGATGTAAAGGAAACTTTCTCAAAATCCTTCAACATGATCTTTATTTTCGATGACACTTTATCGTAAAGTTCGCTGCAAACAAGTTCCGTAAAATATTTCCTGCCTTTTAGAACATAATTTGGAACAACATGATTCAACAATCGTCGGAACCCCAATCCTTCTATGTGTTGAAAAGGTAAATCAGATAAAGCTATCATTTCTGCAATTAAATAGTCAATTTTTATTGATTTGGGGTTTGTATTATCCCACATTTTGAGTTTTTCTATGTATTCGTTAAAAAATGTTTGTCTAAATTCTCTTTTTACCGTTTGTAAAGATGTTCCCTGTTGAACGTTTTCGTCGGCACTCTTCTTAGCGGAGTCTTCTTTTAAGAATAAAGCATATTCTTGTGGATGTTTCCTCTGGAGGTGATTTTTTAACGATGTTGTACCTTTACCCTTACGGGAATACTTTCCTTCACAAATTTTACATTTAGCACATTCGTCATTTACTATCGTAAAATATTTCCATATTATACTACTAAACTTTTTTGTCGACATTGTTTTTAATTTAATTCAACACTCTCCAAAAACACAAACGTAACCTACGCTATCCCGTGTCACACTAGCCACAAACCAGTGTTTCCCAACGTGGGGCGTGGNGTTCTCAGCCGACTTTGGTGTGTTACCCTCGTTTCGGTGTGATATGTTTCTATTAGTCTATCAATAAGAGTCAGTCGAAATTGTAAATTTGTTTTTTGGCCACCATTTTTCTTGTACATCACAAAAGAATCATATATACAAAAATCTACTAAATGAAAAAATATTTTTCTATAGTAATTCTTCCCACCTTTTCTCGCCACTGCATAGTCATGGAGATGTTGATCTAACAGGTCAACACCCCCCATTGTGTCGTTGTAGTCGACAATGACCTGTGGCTTTACAACAGACTTACCGGCATGTGTTCGTGTGGTTACCATGGCAGGATTGTGGACTGTAGACAGTAAAGCTACACTTCGCTTGTCCTGCCATTTCATAACCATTAGCTTACCTCTCTGGAAAGCAATTGTTTCTCCCTTTTTCAATTTTTGCCTATGGATTACTGGCGGAATCTCTCGTCTTATTGTGCGTACGGTTCCATAAAAATCCGTTTTGCACGTGACAAGATAATCCGCCAACTGTGGGGAAGAGTAAAATCTATCTGTTGTTAGACAATAGCCCTTATCTAACAACGAATCAATTAACGTTAGCACAATCAGTGAACTGACTGGCATATTTTTATACTTATCATCCAATGTAGTTGACTTGCCGGTATAAATTAGAAATTTATATAAATATCCTGATGAGGATTCACATAAATTATAAAATTTCACACCGAAACGAGACCGTTTCTGAGGAATGAATTGTTTCCACGAAAGACGACCCTTGTATAGCAACAAACTCTCATCGATGGATATGTCTCTTTCCGGTATATAAAATCGCGAAAATTTTGAATTTAGNCTGATGAGGATTCACATAAATTATAAAATTTCACACCGAAACGAGACCGTTTCTGAGGAATGAATTGTTTCCACGAAAGACGACCCTTGTATAGCAACAAACTCTCATCGATGGATATGTCTCTTTCCGGTATATAAAATCGCGAAAATTTTGAATTTAGGTCTACAATTATCGGCCAAATTTTGTGCAGTTTAGGATTGGGGTGTGTGTCTGGGTTATAACTGTCATTACTTATGAAATGTAAATTTTTTTTTATATTTCTAAATCTATTTCTCGAAATTACTCTGCCAAAAAATGGGGTGTGTAATTTGGCGTCTTTTGTCCAATACATCCTCTCCTCGGGTTTTTTTATAATACCTTGTAATATACATATACTAATGAACACAAAAAATTCTTCTCCAGTAAGTGGTGTCCAGTTACTGCGTGATGTTTGTGGCCGTTGAGAATGGAATCTATTTGTTTCATCCACAATATTATTGATCATATTTATATCAAAAAACAATTGGAAATATTCCAAAGGGTCAAACGTATTCCCAACGTTTACTGTCATTCCGGGATTTCCCACAAAAGGAAAACGCGGAGGAGCCGAAGGTAGATTGTTCATATCTATTGGACACCAGCTTTTTGTACTTGATGTGGATGCCACATCTATTTCCTGATCGCTTACATCCGATCCCGTCAGCCCACTAACTGCACTAGACCAACTTCCCTCAGACTCACTTGATGATCCTGGGATATATTCGTTATCCGAATCAGAAGACATTCTGCCAACAAAATAAATTATCTAAAATCCGTTCTTTTATATTATGCACGAGAAAACTATTTTCCTAAAGTATTATAATGATAAGTAACTTACTTGATAAGTAGCAACAACACGAGTGAAAAAAGCACACAAAAATATTTCAAAATTTTCAACACAAAATAAGCAGACCGAACAACTCAAGAGCAGAACTATGAGTGAGAAAAATTACAGAATTGTTCAAAGAAGAACAAAGGGTCAGAAATTCTAAGAACCATCATCTGACATCTTTTATTGCAGTCATAAATGGTAACAATTGAGAACTCCATTTTCGGAAACCTTTGTACATACAGGACAATAAACATTTCCAATCAACTATTTTATTGCTGGTTCCCCATCTGAGAATTACTAATTACTTGCAGATGTTCAAAGGTTCTATATAAATGCTTTGATACGTAAATAAATGTAAAAAAAATATAACTAAAATATATTTTTCTACTAAAATATTTATTGCATAATATACATGAAAATGTTTCGATAAACTGTCACAAATATATATAATAAGTTGAAATGTTATCGGAAACCTTTCTATTTACAGGACAATAGACTAAAGAGTTTCCAATTACCAAGCCCAATAAATTGGTAACTAGAATCTCTTTAGAAATGTCGGACAACACACTTTATTGCAGTCGTCCTGTCGAACTGCTTTATAATTGCACAGAGACGTTCAAAAATTCTATACAAATGTTTTTTTTATGTAAATAATTATATGGAAATATGAATAACATATCTTCTCTCTAACATCTTTATTTTATTATATGAATAAAAAGTTTTACGAAAAACTATCACAAATATATATAATATTTAGAAATGATATCAGAAACGTTTTGTAGTTACAGAAAAAGTAAGACTTTTCAATTGCTTGTACACGTTTGTAGCTGACAAACTATCTCCAAGAATGCGTGGCTTCTTCGAT